GGGAAAGAGCTGCACTTGCTCAGTGTCCACCGGGAGCACTGTGGCGTTAAAGCTGCTGCTGCACCTGGACAACATGCCACAGCAGCAGAATGTGCCGGCGAAAGTGCATGCAGTAAGTGACAGGAGGCAGTTGGGAGAGAAAGAGTGGCCGATGGTAACGATGTCAGCGAAAGCTTTAGCTCATAAATAGTTTCACTTTTTGTTCCCGATGTGTTTCGACGTCATGATTCGTCACAGCTGCAGCTGCAGTTTCTTTAGTTTAAAAAAACAAACAAGACGTAGCAAAAGAAAAAAACAAACAAACAAAGACGTAGCAAAGGTGCCGTTTAACACAGTCTAATGTTTAGAACTTAACGGAATATTTTAACATAAAATAATCAAAACTCCTTGAGCCGTAAACACAATCAAAACCTGCTTCCACTAATTGTAGTGTTGTTTCTGACCTGATTCCTTCAGGCTGTGTCCAGAGAGAGGCGTGATCGTAGAGCGAGGTCACTGAGGGTCAGAGCAGGGGTCAACGTGGAAACACACACACACACACACACGTCTGAAAACTCGTAGTATGTCTTTCTTGTTGTTCTTGTTCTGGTTGGTTCTGTGTGAAGACATATGTCACAGCAGTGAAAAGACTCGGAGAGCGCTGACCTTCAGAGTCAACCACGCTGACCTTTTCTCTTCATACAGCTTTAAGAAGTTCAGGAAGAGTAAATCCTCGGCAGCTCCGAGGGGAATTTCCCCCCCGGTTCTGGACTTTTCCAGGATCTCAATTCAGAGATGTCGCCTTTTATAGACATTACTACAGTATTTACACAGAACTGCAGCCTTGTAGTATTTTCACTTTTTTCTCAGTACCACTGGGCAAACATTTTAAAATTTTGTTTGGCAAATTTGCTAGACCAATATATTTACCCATCTTTGTGACTTATGTTGTGCTTTTTTTAATGTTTTAATTTAAATCAATTAGATGAACTTTTAGTTAGTGTCATTTAAGACTTTTAGCTTTTATCTTACATTTTTTTTCTAAAACCCTTAGCTATTGTAAACAGAAGGTCGAGGGTTCGATCCCGCACCCTGCTCTGCTTCCCTTCTGCTCCGTCTCCTCCTCTCCCTCTACTTGGCTCTTTTTGCATCCTTCCCTCTGACTCTGCACCGTGATAAAAATACAGCGACACAAATAGAAACGTGTGGTTTCTATTTTTATGAGAGCTTGAATGAAACAGGATCCTCAGCTGATTCTTCCCTCTGGCCTCATTTGAACGTTTCCTGGCCTGACTTTTCTGTCAGCTGTTTCTGCAGGACTATTAAGGGAATAAATGATGATTTTGTCTTTTTACCCAGTTATTTTTGTCTCCACATACGAACCTTTGTCGGTTCTGCAGCAACAACAACTTCATCTCGGAGAGTTTTTCCCTTTTTTTACGTTCGACATCTGATCAAATCAATATCACATTTATTGCCTGTCAGAGAAAAAAAATCCAACTATTTTTGCCACTAAGCCAAACATGTAAAATAGAACATAATTAGTGATCAGTGACTGTGACCGCCTGGATCCTCCCTCAGCCGCCTCACTTGACTTCTTCTGTCTTGCAGGGGCGTAGTGAGAGTGGACGTTAATCTACAGGATGTTGATATCGACCAGTGCTCCACCGACGGCTGGTTTGCTGGAACCCATCGATGCAACCTGACCACCATGGAGGTGAGTGTCAAGTCCTGCCCGTCACATGGATTAGGCAGGAGATTGATAGGGTCAGGAAGAGCGAAGTGGAACATGATGGGCTGTTGTCACAGACCATGGAAATCACTGACATATGTAGAGCAGCAGGGAAGGCTGGGATAAGAGAAAAAGGGGCGGAGCCATTTTGAGATTTAAGAAACAAAGTATTGATTTTTTTTTCTGTAATAAGGTCATAATAGAAGCAGCCAATAGGAAGAGAAGGATCAGCCATAGTGGTAGGTGGAGAAGTCGCTGCAGAAAGTCTGTTTCTGGGTTTTGGTCCTTGGTGCATATGTGAGGTAATACTGCTCAGCTAACAGCTGCTAATTATGAATTTATAGAGTGTAGTGAAGACGGAGATAGAACCTGACCAGAGACTAATTAAACTCGGTACCACTTTGTGACCTCACAGCGGGATTGGTCAGCCTTACCTAATGTGGAAAAGTTTCCAGAGACAGCGTTGATGGAAAAGTTTGAGCGTCGCCCGGTCTCTGGGTTTTTGAAAAAAAAAAGTTTTCTGAAAACTCCTGGAGGCGCTGGAGGGTTGTTTTTTTTTTTTTTTTCAGTGTACTGTGACTACATGTACATGTACAGACAGGGGCTCGCTCACTGGCACACGCTCCCTGACGCTGCCTACCTGCAGGTTCCAGCCTTATCGTTGGGAGTTGATAGATTTTTAAAGACGTGTAGATCAGACTGATTCATAATGCATGTGTAATGGACGGCACTGAGCCTGTCTGAATAATTAATCACTCTCTTTGTCTGAGTACTTCCACCTCTCCATGGACAGTCGATGTCGGAGACATTTGACATGGAGGTAGAGCGTGTGTGTGTGTGTGTCCACCAGGAGACAAATACAATGTCCCTGGTATGGATTTTTAGCTTGGCTTTGCAGAATAATGATCTCAGGGCACTTACAGTGCAGGAGTGTGTTGCTTACAGCTGAGTGATTAAAGCTGCTGTGGCCCGGCCTCATTACAGCCAACGTCTGCGTCTTCATCACGCCGCGGCGCTCGTTATCATCAGATCTGCTGGATAAACACCACAGACGACTGTAACCGCCTTATCTCCGTCCTGACGATGTTGGTCGTTCATTTGTCCCTCGTCACATTAGCAGAAATCACACCAGCGTCTCAGAGTTCCACCGAACGGAGTTCCACTTTTCTCTCCACTTTAATTAAAGTGCAGGTGATCACAGGTGACGTGGGAGGCCCAGGCCCAGGTTCCTCTGCGATTTATTTTCGTCTGCGGCTATGAATAGAATTCTCCTGCAGCAGAGTAATCAAGTTTTTTGTCGGAGCTGAGCGCGAGCTAACGTGATGAGAACGGCAGCCGTGGGAGAACTGCCCTGCGTGTGTTCGCCAACGGGGATTCATTTAGTTTTATGGCCGTTTTTATTTCAGTCTTTTTCGTGCACAGAGGTTTTCCCTCTGCATGTGCAGCACTTTAATGTTTTAATAGTTTTTTTCTTACTCTGTTGCAATTTAAACGTGATACGAAAAAAAAAGAGCTGCCGCAGATCTGGGCTGTTTACTGTTGTTTTACTGCCCATTTGAAGTGTAGGCTGGAAGTTAGGGTGAGCTGAGGAGACCTCAACCTGAGGATGGGCTCCCAGAGCAGGAAAACAAGGTTTTTAAAATAACAATCCCTGCCAAGCTCGAAGGATTTTGAGTTTATTTTTCTGCTGTTATATAATAAAACTAGTTTGTGTTGGTAAACAGAGAGCAGTTAACCAAATCTCCAGCTCCTCCGTCGGGATCCCCCCCGCCCCCTTCCTCCACGCCCTCCCTGTCGTTCCCTTCTGTCTTCACAGCTTTTTAAAAGCCACCGTTTAAATTCAAGCTTTTGAATTTGACACATGCCGCCGCCGCTGCCGGGCGGACGGCCAGACAGTCGGACAGAGTCGACTCCCTGGCCTCGCCTCACTTCCTGCCTCTCGAGCTGCAGTTTGCCCAGCCGAGCGTGCAGCCAGCCCACACTGGGATGGAGGCAAATGTTATGGATGAGTGATCCAGGAGGCAGAGCAGAGGGAAGAAAACAGAGAGGAAAACAGAGGGACTGTAGGCAGAAGAGATATGAAGAAAAAAAAAGAGAGAAAATGCTCCAAAAACACACCTTTATCATCACCACACTTCATAATATCATAAGATTATGAGAATAAAATCGAAACTTTACATCATTACATATATGCTTTTTTCTCAGGACGTTTGTTTTAGGAGTCAGCAGGATTAAAAAACTCTAGTTTTTAGCCGTACAAATAAACATGATAAAACAAGACATCTGTTCTCTGCTCAGCTCACTGACCAGCCGAGCTCACGTTGCCGCCGCAGTTGTCGACATCAAAACTATTCACCAAACCCAATCATTATTTCTGATTTTTTTTTATTTTTATAAAAGCTCCCGTTCTTTCTTCAATGAGTCAATTTCCTCGCTTCAGGTTAATTCGTTTGACCCATAAAAACATACAGGGATGCATTTGAGGAGAAAACTGTGAAAACTGATTTGCCGCCGTGTCACAAAAATGACTGATGTGCACATCAGCCTTGATGCTGCATTTGCATACGGAGCTTTTAGGCCTCATTCTGCCCCATAATGAGTCGTCTTTTCATGCCGACAATCATTTTCTGGGAGAGAAGTGGCGATCGTTTAAAATGATGGATTTTCTCCAGCGTACTTCACATTTCACAACTAACAGTAACACTGTTAGAACCTGCTGTGAAATGTTTGTTTGTTTGGTTTAAATCTCTGTAGAGAAATAATTGTTAAAGTGTGTTTTGACATAAACTGAGCTTCGGTTTCTCCGAAAGAATTGTTGACTTTTCATTGTAATTGTTACAAAAACAGATCAATAGACAGTGTTTTAGGTTTTAACCATTAGTTGTGAAAGGACTGAACAATCGAAGGTTTCCTCTGAGGCCACATGTTACTAAAAGAAAAATAGCTAAATGCTAGCCACAGTAGCTAAGAATAAGCTAATTGTGAGGTAAAAAATATGTAACTTTTCGCCTCAAAGGTAAGATTTAAACTGTC